ACCAAAATATTTCAGTTAGCTTAATGCCAACCTTTTTAATGGTATAACAATTTATTCACATAAATATTGCTCGTTATTATATTTTGAAAAGGTTGGCGTTTAACCAACTGAAATATTGATAAATTAATCATTTTTTGATCCAATATATAGTCCTTTATAATTGAATATATATGTTTTCTCTATTTTCAAAACAAATATTTCGTATTAAAATTAAACAGTCGAACTTGGATAATTCGTAACCCAAGGGACCAAAAAAAATCGAAATATCCAAAATTAGAATTAAAAACAGAAATTCTATTTATAGGAAATTCTAAGGACCAAGATAAATATTTGAATTAAAGATGTTTGAATTATCCAAGTTCTACTGTATTTGTTTCTTTTAGTTCAAAGCTTCCTACGCCTTCACACCAAAAGTAACTGAAAGTTTTGAATAAAATAAACAAATATTTGATGAGAGAATATTTTATTATAAGCCTTTTCCAATCAGTAAAGCATGATTAATTTGATTTCATAGAATAAATATGTCATAATATATACTCTTCCAGGAATATTAAAGCCAACCTACAGACAACCCAGAGAGGAGGGGAGGGTAAAGTCCGATCACTTGAGACCCCAGCGACATTCCAAGTGGCGACTACTGTGGTCCGTCAGTTAACACCTCGAGACTATTGAGACAGTTGGGGATTGTGTGCGACACGAACGGCCGCCCGGCTGTGCTGGTCCTGTCTCTCTCCTTCTGGTTGCCTGGGTTCCTTCTACAACTTGTGGTGCGTTTTCTTTCTCCACCTTTCATACCACATATATATATACATAAATCAAATATCTACTCTCCTTACTGCAATGAAAAAATATTTTAGAGGGATTGGCTCATTAACGGGGAAGCCTTCCAAAATATTTTTTTCATTGCAGTAAGGATTTGATTTATGCATAAAAATTAACTTTCGCGCTTAATTGTTGTATTTTCTTATGAATGTATAAAAAAGGAGTTTTTTTTTTTTATTTTGAAAAAATATATTTTTTATTCCTCCGAATAGAAATAGATCTGAAAAAATATATTATGATATCAAAAACGATTTTTCAAATATAATGTTCGGAAATTTAAATATTCAAAATCTTCAAAATTGTATGCTCC